GGCTCGCTGCTGTCAGCACAGAGCCCGCTTCAGATCCTCTGTCCTCTCCTCTGCACGCCCCCCGGCCCCCACCTCTCAAAAATAAATGGCTCAGTCAGTTAAGCGTCTGACTTTGGCTCAGGTCATGATCTCACGGCTCGTGGGTTTGAGTCCCTTGTTGGGCTGACAGCTCAGAGCCTGGATTCTGTGTCTCCCTCTCTCTGCTCCTCCCCCAGCTCAGGCTCTGTCTCTCTCTCTCAGGAAATGAATAAAACCATTAAAACAATAAAAAAAAAATAAACATTTTAGAAGGATCATACACCATCATCATTTGGGATTTATTCTAGAGAAGGAAGGATGGTTCAGCATCCACAAGTCCATCAACATGATAATACGCCACATTAACAAGACCAAGGATAAAAATTCCCCGATCATCTCAGTAGGTGCAGGAAAAGCATTTGACAAAATCCAACATCCATTCATGACAAAGCTCTCAGCCAAGTGGATGTAGAAGGAATGTACCTCAACATAATAAAGGCCACATATGACAAACCCACAGTTAACCTCATCCTCAATGGTGAAAGGCTGAAAGCTTTTCCTCTAAGACCAGGAGCAGGATAAGGATGTCCTCTCTTACCACTTCTATTCAACATAGTATTGGAAGTCTTAGCCAGAGCAATGAGTCAAGAAAAAAAGAAATCAAAGTTATCCAAATTGGAAAGGAAGAAGTAAAACTGTCCCTATTTGCAGATGACATGATACTACATATAGAAAAACCCTAAAGGCTCCACCAGACAACCATTAGAAGTGACAAATGAATCAGTAAAGTTGCAAGATACAAAATTAACACACACAAATCAGTTGTGTTTCTGTATACTGATAATGAGCTATCAGCAAGGGGAATTTTTAAAAATCCCATTTACAACTACATCAAAAAGAATAAAATACCTAGGAACAAACTTAACCAAGGAGGTCACCTGTACGATGAAAATTATAAGACGCTGGTGAAAGAAACTAAAGATGACGCAAATAAATGGAAAGATAGTCCATGCACATGGCCTGGAAGAATTGATACTCTTAAAATGTCCATGCTACCCAAAGCAATCTACAAACCCGATGCAGTCTCCACCAAAATACCAGTGGCATTTTTCACAGAACTAGAACAAATCATCCTAAAACTTGTGTAGAACCACAAAAGACCCCGAATAGCCAAAGCAGTCCTGAGAAAGAACAAAGCTGGAGATCACAGGCTCCCTTATTTCAAACTATACTGCAAACCGGAGTAATCCAAACAGTATGGTACAGATGCCCATGCCACCACCGTTACAGAAAGGCAGAGGGGACTTCCTCCAAGGCCACGTAAAGCGGACATGCCTCCTGATTTCCTACTCCCTTGGTCCCTTGCCCAGAGGCCCTCACCACTCTGCCCCTCGTGGTCATGGCCAACTGGCTGTCAAAGTGTCATTCAGAGACCTTTGCAGATACCGGATTCTCCTAAGATCTCTCCTGGTCCCCTCGTCCCATCTCTTTCCTTCTCCCTCCTTCCAGCACCCCGCCCCAGCTTTCACCTACTCACATATTTCCCACTCCCTTTCCTGCTGATCATAATCACTGAGCTCACGAGTGACCCCTTAATTACTAACTCCAATGGCACCTCTCCCTCCTTGTCTTTTTTTTTTTTTTAACGTTTACTTATTTTTGAGAGAGACAGGGCATGAGCGGGGGAAATGCAGAGAAAGAGGGAGACACAGAATTCAAAGCAGGCCCCAGGCTCTGAGCTGTCAGCACAGAGCCCAATGTGGGCCTCGAACCCACGAACCAAGGGATCATGACCTGAGCCACAGTCGGACGCTTAACTGACTGAGCCACCCAGGCGCCCCCGTCCTTTTCTTATTTGATTTTTTGGGGCCAAACTTGGCATTGTTGACCATTGCGGATGGCCGAGGCTGCGTCAGGCAGACACCCCAAAACCTTGGGAGATGGGAGCATTGTCTTTCACCCAGATGTTCCTCAGGGAGAACATGTGAGCAGCACTCCTGGGCGCAGTATGTGGGTGCCCGTTCCAGAGGCCGGAACAGTGGTGAAGGAACAAGTAAACACAAGCTACTGGGTCAGCCAGACCCAGGAAGGATGCAGGAGCCTCAGGGGAGGCGGCTGTGTGGGTGGGATGTTACCAGAAGGGAGGCGGAGCCAAGGCAGAATGACTAATCAAGACGATGCAGCCAAGAGGTGGCTGCCGCGTCCAGTCCATGGCGCTGGACTCCAGGCCAGGGGAGGGGGGCGGCCAAGAAGCCCCAGGCAGAGGCTTGACTTCCTGGACAAGGGACGGGCTGGACCGTGGCCCAGCAGGAAGCAGCTTGGACTCTGAAAATCTGAGTGAGCTCAGAGAAGACTTCCCCGGGGCCAGCATGAACCAAAGGCCTTGGACTAGGTCCACATGATCCAGGGAAAGAAGGTGAGGAAGGCTCCTGCGTCTTCCGCTCGACTTAGCACCAGCAAATCCACCCCACCTTGAGGACCCGTCCTAAGCTTAGGAAGTGCTGTGCTTATGTGTGTGTGTGTACATGTGAGTGTGCATGTGTGTGAGCATGTGTGTGCACATGAGTGTGCGAGTGTGAGTGTGTGCACGAGCTGGTGTGTGTGTGCTTGAGTGGGCTGTGTGCACGTGTGTGCATGTGTGTGCACGTGTGAGTACATGTGAGTGAGCGTGTGTGCATGTGTGAGCATGTGTGCGTGTGTGTGCATAAGTGTGCATGTGTGCATGAGCGTTTGTGGGCATGTGTGTGTGCATGTGACTGTGTATTGTGAGCACATGTGTGCTTGGGAGTGTGAGTACATGAA